AAAAATAGTTGGTTAGCGTCCCCGCCCGCCCACAAAAAAGGCCCCGCTCAGGATTTTTTTTTATTTTTTATTTAAAAAAACCCCGACTTTTATTGATCAACGGGCTCTAATATATGTAGTATTTCTGTTGACTGTAGTCAATTGTGTTAATAATTTGCAAAATTGTGTGCGAAATTGACGGTATGAATTATCTTTTGAAATATATAAAAAAATATCTGTACTGCGCAAGAAAATCCAGTTTCGGACCTAACAGTGAGTAAAACCAAGGCGTTAAAAATTAGTAAAAATTTTAAAAAAAAGCGCGCGCCCGCCCACTTTTTGGCAAAAGCCAAGGACGCTAACCAACTATTTTTTTTATATGGCCTAACAGTGAGTAAAACCAAGGCGTTAAAAATTAGTAAAAATTAAAAAAAAAGCGCCCGCCCGCCCACTTTTTGGCAAAAGCTAAGGACGCTAACCAACTATTTTTTTTTATATGGCCTTATCCTCCACCTCCCTCTAGTAATTACTTTATGACCGGTCCCGGCTTACCTTTTTGGATCTACATTTGATATCTAGGTTATCTAACTTAATAAATATTTGTTCTTTTATATTCTTTTGTTTGTTAAAAATTGTGAGTATCGATCCAAATAAAATTTGTTAAAAAAAAGTGATAATGGACGCTTACCACGTGCACGTGCTTCGGGTCGGCGACTTATCACTAAACTTTGTTAACTTTCCTGTCCAATTGTTGTCCTGAAACAGCAGATAAAACAAATATGAGTTATATCAATCAAAGCTGGGGGTATTTCGGAACATTATTGCAAGAAAATTTGGGAGAAATACGAATGGAAAAAGCGACTATTTTAAAGTGAGAACGAAGCGCTTGAATGGGTGGCGAAGTGTATAAAATTCAATGAATTTGCAGCACGTTTCAAAACACGGCTAGAAATTGACAAGAACAGTGCATAAACGTTAAAAATAGCTAAATTTAATACTAACCTATCCTTTTGCATAGCATAACTATTTTATTTCGACAAAGTTTCATAAAAATTATGCTCGATATGTACGGTTCTTCTTCGATACGACCAGGGAACGACGATAGTCACGATACCCACGTGGGTCTATGAACCACGTGTGACACGTTTCGCCCGCCCTAAAATTCGCGGGTCGAGGACATTCGCTAGCGGATATGGACTCCCCGGTCCATATTCGCTAGCGGATTTTAGCTTTCCCGCGTTATTGCACCTCGCTCATCCAATCCCTCTGACTCTTGAGAGAGGGACTTGATCCAAGTCTAGATTTGGATCGGGGGGTCCATTTTGAGGGGGTCCAAATCTGCTGGGACACCGGACGCGATTCGGCAACGCGACGCGAATTTTCAGTTTTCAAAAACAAATAAAATCGTCAACGGGTAAAAATTTTACAAGATGTGCAGACCAAATAGCTAAAATTGCTTAAGTGGTTCCGAATATTTGAAAAACATTGTACAATATTAAAGTTAAATATCATTGAAAACTGAAAATTCGCGTCGCGTTGCCAAATCGCGTCCGGTCTCTATGGGCCTTAAAGGGCTAGCAGGCTACTAAAGGGCGGGCGAAACGTAGCTCTGTTTTTAGGCTACAATCTTGGACGAAATCCTTGAGACCATTCCAACTAATACTACAAAGTTTTGAACATTGACAAAACAAACTTTGTCTCCCCCTCCCCCCAGTACAATGTTGTGAACAACGCCAAAACAACTTTTGGTAATATACCATGATACAAGCTCAACATTGAGTTGGGGGAGCTGGGGTTTAAGAATGGCAACATGATTCAACTATGATTCAACATGAAGTTTATCATAAAAATACGCGAATTTTCAATAAGGGGAAAATAGTCTCAACCAGTTATGTCCAAGATTGTAGCTAAACTTCGACCACTGAACTGGAATCTGTAAAACCCGGAATGAGAAAAGTGGGAATCTCCACGGAAATTGAAAATCTGCTCTCCTTTTTGGTTTTATTTGCATGCTTAATTAATTCAGGGCGATTACTCAGGGTTCCGGAACCATAAAGTTTGGTTTAAAGATTCTAATTATTTGTTATTTATATCAATTTGTTTACTACCGTTTGCAAGCTACAGTCAACCGTGAGCATTTAATTTAAACGCGTTTGCATTTTTACGTTTGTAACAAGTTTCAAGGCTTGGATGCCATGGAAAACTGGAAAAATCTTTGAAAATCATCTAACTTTTATCCTTAAACTTAAGGAGAGGAATGCAATTAGAAAAAAAATGACATCGAAACAACTTTTGGACAATTGTTATACATAATTTTAATTGAAATTGGAGAAAATAAACATTTGGGCAATAATCCTTGGGCTGGTAATAATTCTTCAATTTATTTCCAGCCTACTGAAAAAAAATTCCACGACTTCCAAGGACCTTATCAGTTTCCAAGGAATTTCCAGGCCTGGATTTTTTTTTAACAAATTCAAGGACTTTCCAGGATTTTCAAGGATCGTGGGGACCCTGGTCATATAGCCTGTTAGCTGAGCAAGCTTTTGTGAGATGTCATGGAGCGTCTCTTTTTGGGCACGGAAAAGTGAGGGCTTAACCCTTTTTCAAGGAAGTCAAAAATCTACCATTAACTGAAATAGGTTTAACAATTTTAATATATGCAAATCATAGACATGCATTAAGATTCTATTTGTAATTTTATTCTACATTTATATATACTACAGTTAATATAGTTGAAGTTTAAATGTCAAATGAGAAAAAAATAACTTAAGTCTTTACGACCCGTGTTAAAGACACTCGTATTTTCCGAAAGGCCAACGAACACTGGCCAAGAGGGCAACGATTTCCCATTGTCAGTCTAATTCATATGATCTAATTTAAACAAATTGTGAGCCCACAATAATCTACTACAGCGGAGTATATTCATTTGGTGTTGATGTTACATGAATTACGAATATACAATCATGCAATGTTATGGCACAGTTTAATGGTTATGGTTTCACGACAATTTCAACAAAAAACATGCATTTTTAATGCACACACTACCATGAAAATTACAATTAACAAGGTAAGATGGTATTTGTCCTGTTTTACGAGACAAACTCGACTCCTCGAATCTTTAAACTTGGAATAAAAACCCCCCAAATCTTTAAACTTGGAATAAAAAACCCCGAATTAAGCTTCGGATACACGAGCAATATTTTTGCTGTGATGGTTACGCAATGGGTGATAACAGCATTGCGTTGCTATCGCACAAGGTGGCCACACCTGCAATATTTCACCTGCAATATATGTCTTCATAACGCTTTTCATTGGCTGGTCAAGAAACGTGTCATTCATCAACCTTGACCTACCTTGACCACACCTCCAAATTTTGGGCAGTCATTGCCCAAAATCAAATGATTTGAAATTTCGGCAATGATTGCGCGCAGCTTTGCGTCGCCGTCGCAGAGCATGATACACAAGCAATTTCTTTCTCGCGACGGCAATGCAACGATTTTACCACCATTGCATTGCCATCGCCAGAAAAGTATTGCCCGTGTATCCGTAGCTTAAACTTGAAATAAAAAAACCCGAATCTTTAAACCTGGAATCGAAAAAACCCCGAATCTTAAAACTCAGAATTGAAAAACCCCCCAAATCTTTAAAAGCAGGAATCAAAAACCCCGAAAATCTTCATCAAGTCCGTTCTGCGTATCGGTTCTGCTCATAAAAATGCGAACATTGCCCTCTAATGTAAACATTGCCCAAATTTCGAATTTTTCTGAACATAAACTCTTTCATATTCATTTAGAAGCATAGCGAACCAAAATGGTGTTAGATATTCAGACAGTACATCATATTTTAAAAAATACAGCAGTTCAAAATGTAAACAAACCGTTTGTTGACATTACGGACTTGACTTCCCCTTTAAACCAGGAATGGAAAAACCCACGAACATTTAAACTTGGAATCGAAAACTCCCCGAATCTTTTAAACCAGGAATCAAAAACCCCCCGAATGTTTTAAAGCAGGAATCGACCCCCCCCCCCGAATCTTTAAACCAGGAATCAACCCCCGAATCTTTTAACTCGGAATAAAAACCCGAATCTTTAAACTTGGAATAACCCCCCAAATCTTTAAACCAAGAATAAAAAAACCCCGAATCTTTAAACCAAGAATTGAAAACCCCCCAATCTTTATTCTGTTAATCTAGAGCTTGAAATGTGCCCGTGGTAATAACTCAGTCATCCTTGTTTGAGCGGGGCTTTAGTACTGATTAGAGATGCATATTCGTGGTCAATACATACCTATATAGATGAACATATGTTTTATATTCCAAGGCTTTCCACCAAGTGATGATGACTGGTGTATTTTTGTTGTGAATGCTTCTGCAAGATATCAGCAAGTGAGAAAACACTCGGGTACCCCAGTTGAAGAGAATGGAAGATGCAAGGTCCAGAACCCAATATCCTAAACAGACACAAAATACAATCCTGTTAAATGCTATAATCCATAAACAGTTTTTCTGATCAGCCATCAAGAAGTGCAGAGAGGATATGTTGAGAGAATTTCAGCAAAACTATAAACTCGCTTAAATTAGTTGCCTTCATTTCAGCATAGCCTATCGAAGGGGAGATGGCTGTGAAACTCATTAGAATAACAATATAACTCATTATCTATGTTGGTCAACGTTTGTTCATAAATCTGGTCCTTCACCGTCACGTATGTATTGTATTCTTGCTCAACTAACCAATAGCAATGTCTTAGGAAAGTCACCTATCCGTGACTCGAACAATAGGGAAATTGGAAATTGCTATTGGTGGATTTGGTAAAAATACAATACACACGTGACGGTGAAACGACCAGATTTTATGAATAAACGTTGACCAACATAGATAATGAGTTATATTGTTATTCTAATGAGTTTCACAGCCACCCCCCTTTCGATAGGCCATGATTTCAGATACCACAAAACATTTCAAAAAACCATTAGGTCGAAGAAAATAATACCTAGGTTTCCGCTTTCCCACTAGCTTTTCGCCACCGAAATCACCGACCCTAATCCTTGAAATTTTTAAAGCTCTTGGTGGAATTTTTAGTACCCAGTTTGTGGCGTTAGTTTTGTGCTATCTATCTAAAGTACAACCTTTTTGTTTCAAAGTTGATGTAATATTTAACGAATGTTTGCGCCATCAGTGCTGTCGTAATTGACGTATAATATCACACACTCTCACGCATAAGCATTTACAAAAAAAATTAACAAAAAAAAAAAAAACCCAAACCTACCCTACTTACGTTTTTGCAACGAGAAATAGGAAGCCCAGCTATTGACAGTACTAGTACATATATATAGAGCGTTTACTTGGCAAGATTTGGTGCAAACTAGAGGCCGATTCGGCTTGGGTGTGTAATACAAAATTTCCCAAACCAGCTGCGTAGGGTGTATACATTGGGGGGTATTCAATACCATAATCAAATTTTGTCAATAACCGCAGTTTTTGAGTCAAAAATTGCAAATATCGTGTATACCGCAAGATTTCCAATATCGTATATAATACCGCAATTTTTCAAGGAAAATACCGAAATACCATAAGAAAAATAAGCTAATACCGCCATACCGTAAATCCCAATGTCCCCCCTAGGGTGTTCTGTATTAATTTAACCTTAAGTGGCAGCACTCTTCCCTTGATGAGTAAAATTGTCTGGTGCCAGACACTGCAGTAAAATAATAAAGTGGGGCACATCAGGGTGCATTGACATTTAAAGGGTTAAGTGGCTATGTTCCTCGATGCATCCTGATTGTTAAAATCGTGATATATATGGAAAAAAACCGGTAACAAACAAAATACATGTGCTCGCTTTGCTGCGTCAAGGACGCGCGTGGATCTCAATACTCATGATGACATAAAATTTCATCAACTGAAAAGGCAAACAGTCTTTATCTTCAATCAGTTTAAGAGCATGTTGCCGACAATTAAGTGACCCGCAATATAAACTGAGATTTCTTTCAATAACTCATTTGAATTAGCAGAAACACGTCTTTGCATGACATGGAAAGTTTCTTTGAAAACTTATTTCGTTTCAGACAATCAATCGGTGTGGATATACACTCAGAGTAACATCACAAGCATCATATTCACCTGAGTACATTATTTGAATAATTTTTAGGCCAATTGGCTATTACCTCTAACTATCTGACCTCCCCATGCACATTTTGCGTTAGATTCACTGCATTTTGGCAAGTAAAAGGTGCGGAATTTGAATTTTATCAAGGTATTTGTCTATAAATCGCCAAAAATCGGTAACCGTTACAGAACAAATTAAAGAAAATAGCAACAACAGGCTACAGAAGTGGGAAGATTCTTGTACGTGACTGTAAGCTAGCTAGGCTACGTTTATTGTCAACACGTACTTCAGATTGTCGATGGAGGATGTTAATAAAAACTGCGTTTGTATCAGTTTGTGGTACGGGTATTCTTTCTCATCTTAAAATGGGTATTTTTTATCATCCTCCTTTTGGGTGTCACAAACATTAGTGTATAGTCTTGTATTTAGTGACCAATACAAATAATTGAGAAATACAGAGTAATTTTCTTGTACCTGAAGTACCAATTAACATGTGTGTGTTAACATATCTATGATGTTACGTAAACACGCGCTCATGAAATCTAATGTTTTTCCACTTATGACAATATGGCGTCAATTTTACAGCATCAATGATAATTATGTTTAAATTGACAATATTTAACTATCATTTTGTGTTTCTCAACCGGCAAATGCATTGAAAAAGGTTGTTAACTGTCGGTAAACTACAAAATAAAGATAAAACAATTAAAAAAAGTAATTTTGAGAGGAAGGCAAAAAAGATTTTAGGATTTGAATACTATCGCAACTACGAGACATTAACAATGTCAATGTCCATCAATGTGCATTAAACGATATCAATTATAAGTCTGTTTATGTGAATTTCACAATTACCGGCTTTGTCCCACTATACAGAGGGCATATATATTACTAAGACAACAGGCAAGCAATCTGATTGGTTGAGTGATGAGATATACACAGCGACAATCCATATTTGCACGTCACTCTTCACATGATTGCGATATTGCAGGTATTATATATAGACTGGTATTACATATCTTATACAGAGACTAATACTGGACGTGTACTACATCAGCTTAAAGCCTTGCGAGTCTATTCCTCTTGTGACACAGACAGTAATTTGACAAGCAAAAGTCAGAAGCAGGCACAGATATATCAAAATGGTAAGAAAAATAAGTACTTAGTTGAATGCTTTTATAGCAAATAATGAATATGTAGGAATGTTTGTCAAAAAGTAAGTCAGTACAGGAATTTTTTTATATAGTGATATTTTACATGACAATCATTATGTTGGTTATTACAAATGATTTTGACTAACGCCAGACGATTTTTCTTGGCATTGGGAAAGTTGTGACGTGGGTTGAGTAATTCTTTGAAAATATATAAAAGTGTAAATAATTGTCGTTGCAATCGTATGAACTTATAGCACAGGATTTCCTGAATATAAGCGCATGCATTTATTCCATTGATAAAGGTCATAAAGGGACAAGCCGATTCGCTTGTTATAATGCGTCGTTCTACATACGACATGTATCAAAGGTATCAATGAAAATTGTGCTGAAGACTGCTGAAGCTACCAGACTTTAGGTAATTGACCACATAATCTTAAACCGGTTAATCAAGGTGTCTTAAGGTGGCTCACACTGACATTTCTGCCGGCCTATGGCTTGCCCAATTGTGAAATATGTATACCAAACTAACCAAAGCCAATGGGAATGAACCAACAGAAAAAATAGGTTATTTGATATTTGAGTGTATTATGTATTATATATGATGTCTACCAGAGCTGAACGGAAGGAGGAATCTCACAATAAAGAAAACTATGCAGAGTTTTGTAATTTGTGTAAACATTGATTAGCCATGCCATCACATTCCTGCTAGAAATTCGTAGTAAAGATTTTGACTTTAAAAACCATAACCGCTGATCTGGATGTATAAGCCGGTGAACGAGAAACTCGATAACCGCGCCTGCTATAATCTGTGAAAATTTGTTTCTTGTATGTTTTTATCCATATATCAGACTATATAGCAGTATGGAACTTACCGGTGCATATTTTAAATGTTTTACAGCGCAGTGTGGGTGAGTGGTAAGGTGACCCATACTCAACCCTAACCTTCCCTTTGAGTGGCCCACACTGGTGAGATTTAGGTCACTCAGGGTACGGGTTACGACCCAGTCTGAACCACCAAATGCCCCCCCCCCCCACGCATATATGTTAAAACTTAAAATATGTTTTGAATGTTACGCAGCACATTTCTTTATACTGCGGTAAATCATGCATGCAATGTCATTGCCAGGCTTTATCGGGTCTTATACGCACATTTTCGCCCTAGTAAATTATATTAGACTAAACAAATAATATAGCACACTTTCAAAGCTAATAACTATATGGGTGGTAGTATAGAGATAGGTTATCATTTTATCATTCGTTGATTCATGGATAACGCTAGAAAGCCTGTGCGGCATGATTGAGATAAATTAAATATATAACACATCATTGTCTTTCACACAATGTCGACCATCAGGACGTCTTCAACGATGCAGTCATCAAGATTAACAATTCACATGTGGAATACGATCAAATGCGCTTCACATCAAGTATTACCGACGCTTACTTAATTATATACTTAGCCTAGACTATTTGATCTTTACAACAATTGTGATATTACTTTCTTAACTGTGTTTACTCCTAACCTGCCCTGTCAACTTTCCCTGTGGGAGGAAGCTGGAGCACCTCACGATTTTTTTAAATGTCTGCGTGAGTCAGCGTGACTGACGAAGACAGACAGTCATACTAATCATATGTAGCAAGAATCGAGCCCACGAATTCAGGGGCGCTTGCTATGACATCTGCGCCACTGAAGCTCTTTATGAGAATGAATGCGAGACAGAAAATAATTAAGATAATTGCTACAATGGAGAGATAATAGAAGAATAAGAGAATCAGAATAATTTACAACATCTGTCATGACCAATTTTTCTCCAGGTCAACTTAGGAACAGTTACGTAATTATTGATATGGCAATATGTCAGATACTTCCATTCACTGGAGGATCAAGGTTGACCAATTTTTAGCTATATATATATAACAGTAGTTTTTACAATCATGAAAACTTGATTCAGCCATTACAAATTGAACATCAACTCAACAAAAGGGCGGGAATATGTTCATAAAGTTCACAGCAGCAATATTTTGTTAAGTTAATTCACCGCGATTGTTCTCATTCCCCGCAGGGTGATAATAAGGGATATACTGGAACATTCATACTGTGAATGACATTGATCCATTGCTTATTTAAACAGTTTGAACGTGAATTGAACTGGTAAATAAAGCTCAAACCAAATTAATGAAATTCATCACTAAGTCTTGCAAACATAGAGCGTGAATAAAGCAATGGAGCCCCAACGCAAACCAGACAATGCCTGGGTGCAGCCTGAACGAAATTATAGTTTGAATTCACAAAACATGAATATAAGCTTTCTTGGTATAAGATCTTTAGTTATCAGCCACAATACGAGTTAAACGTACCGCTGTTAAGGCCAATTGTGGTAATCAGCACTCCACAATTATAAGGGCCCGTTTACATTTGCGACTTTTGTTGCGATCTCTACTGAGATTTTCTACACCTCTGAGTATATGTACCCTCGTCTGAGCATTCATAACTCATCCAGTCGTTGACATCCATCATCAAAAGAAAATCGCAACAAAATATTGCAAGTGTAAACGGGCGTTAAGGAAGTAACGACGAAACAAATGTATACACTTGAGTCTCGAGTAGCGGCAATCTCTCTTAATATCGATGTACCTCGTTCCTTGATCTAGTGGTTCCATGTCTAGCAAGGGTGCACTTCATTAGCCACTTGCGCGATATTAGCTCGATGCATGGAGGTGTGAAGATTGTGTGATAAACATTCCAATATTGTTGAAGGATTTGGTCGATGGAATTCGAGTGGAATTCTGTAAATGTATGAAATTCACACTCGAGATTTCCATAAAAAAAATCCTTCAACAATTTGTTATATCAGGAAGTGTAGATTAAGATCCTACGACAATGTTCAATAAATTACCGCAGTTTTTGTCCCAACTATACCGGCATGAAAAAACCATTTCAACATTTATTTATTTATTTACTTTGCCATCATACTTATACATTCATTGGCTGGGAAACCACAACAGCTATTGCCATGAATTACAGCGGCCCCAATAGTTATGCAGAAACAAGTTACAAGGTATACTAAACACACACAATAAACAATACTTGAACAACAGTCATTACATTTGTCTAAAAGCAGCATGTCAATGGAGAGTTCGTTAAATTTCGAGCGGAATTACATTTCATACACACACTTTTCCATGTATGGGGATCCTCAACATCGTATGTATTTTCTAATGCTAAAATATAGTACTTAAAAAGAAGATTCTTGAATTCTGAAAATGTTGAATTGTTCTGAATTTGTTTGCAACGAACCATCTGACAACTAGCTAAAAGAATCGCTTCGATCAAACAACGAAATAGATAATTCTTACAATCTCAGAAATAGAGAAACTGACTTAGCACTTCCTATGCCAACGAAAGAATTCGGCAAGAGGTGCTTTAACTATAATGGGGCCTCACTGTGGAATAATCTTCCCCAGGATGCAAAAAATTCAGAATCGTTAAGCTCTTTCAACTGAAACAATTTTAAATCAGAGAATTTGTTGAACCTGGCTCATTAAAATATATTAACCTCTAAGCAGTACAACTGTGCTATTATTCAATTGTTGCCAATGTGTTTTATCCTGTAAATAGTTCTAAATCACGCCCCTCGTGAAAATCAGCTTGTAATGTTGTTGAGACTAGCGTGAATAAATAAAGTTTGTATGTATGTATGTATGTATATGTAAACCGAAGAATCTTCGAGATTGGAAACGACACTGAACCCGCCTCTTGCTATCACTTGAGATATTGTTATTCTCTTAAGAAATACTCACAAAATATTTATTTTCTTTTAAAGGCAATCCAAATGCTACTATTGCTGATCTTCACTGTCAACTTCGACCAAATACAGTCAACGGATACTGAAGGTACTGATCTTTCGAGAACCTCTAGGTTGTGAGAGCCTATTATGACCCCATGATTCAATCTTTCGAGAACCTCTGGGTTGTGAGAGCCTATTTTGATCCCACGATTCAATCTTTCGAGAACCTCTGGGTTGTGAGAGCCTATTTAGTTTTTGGACATTGAATCTCATGGACATTGAATCTCATGTCGAGATATTTGGCTACAGTTATCGTTCAGGAACTACTGTGTTTTGACTTTTAAGATCTATATAGAATCACCCAGTAGTTCAGGCCTTGCTACACTCTCTGTTCAGGCCAAGGCTTGTAGATTTTATTTCCATGGAGGTAGTCAAGGATTTGTGAAGTAGTTAATAAATAACTCAGAAGCCACATTCTGTTCAGGGCTTCAGGCCATGCTTGTAGATTTTATTGGGAGGTATATCCAAGGATTCTTGGAACTATAGCTACTCCAGATTTAGAAAGCTCCACTCCACATGACTCTGCGTGGAACTTTAGGTTCAGGATTAGAAATGAGTCTGGCGTTAGGGCCAGGATTAGGCAACTGGTATATACAAGGTTGAGGTGACGATTAAACTTGTCAGATGAATAACGTTTACCGTAACTTTTACATCTGAAAATTTCTTCCTTCGGTAATCACAACCAGGTAAAGCACGAGATCGTCTCCAATCTTCCAGTATATCGGCCAGAAAGTTTATAACTATAGACATATCTTTATATATCGAGTTTTTAGACGCTCTCTGGTTTATTTCAAAAGCTTTCGACTGCCAGATTGCAGTCTTCAACGATTGTTTAACAATGCTAAGACAACCGTTGAAGACTTTAAATGTTTATATATATTCTCTAGTAATCACAATCCTAAAGTACAAGGCTACGAGGTCTATCCTGTCAGCCATTCTAGTGTTGATTAAATATCTTCTTCGTCTTAGTCATCCAAACCAAATCAGGCAAGGTACGAGGTCAAGTGAAATCTAGCAGTATACCAGGAGTCAAAGCTCAGGCGTTTCGCAATATTCCCTACGCTGAAGCTCCAGTTGGTCCATTAAGATTCGAAAAACCTCAAGCAAAAAAACCTTGGAACGGTAATGTTGCAATTTAACATTATTTGTTGCTATTATTATATAACGGAATCAACGATCATTTTGAATCGGTGATACAGAGGGACAGGAGAAAATATTGCCTAGAAAATATATTTCTCTTCTTGGCAGCAAAATCGAAAAATAAACATTTCCCGAGTAAGTCAACTATAAAACTTCCGGCATATGTAGATTTCAGAGAACGTATGCCGGTAATGCACATTGTGATAAACCTCATCTCGGCACAAGACAATCTCGACTTGCAAAATGCTTTTTAAACAATAAGTAAATGATATAGCATTCCAGCATATAACATGGTAAGAATTTCCTGTGAAGATATTTTGTTAAATTTCCAGGCAGCCGTGCTGTTGGACATCTTCCAGAGCAGGAAGCGACCGTTTATACAGATGGTTAACTGAGTTGTAACATGGTTTCTTTCAACCATTTTTTATCGTAGAGACCCGTAACTCAACAGATGTCAACATCGCATGCTTTCAGAAATATATCTCAGGATATAACTTAACAGAAGATTGTTTGATATTGAACGTGTGGACACCATATCCAGCCCCTACGAATGCGACTGTCATGGTAAGATCATCATTACGATTACGACTAGCATTTTAAAAGCGCAAATTTTCATGTGGATAATGTGGATAAGATCAAATGGGCTTTACAAGTATTAGCCATTCCGAAGTTGATGAGTGGACTGGGGACGAGTGTTAAAAAGTGCCCATATTAAGAAATGAACCAAATCACTAAAAAGACCACCTCAAAATTAATCAGTATGCAAAGTTTGAAGACGTTTACATGAATATCCTTCGAATAATAAGCTTTCGAAAACGTGATATTTACTATGAAATGTATTGTAATTTTTGTTTTGGGACGCGCGTCCCAAAAGCAATCTTTTAATCAGTAATTTCACAATTTTCGAAAGCTTATTATTCGAAGGATATTCATGTAAACGTCTTCAAACTTTGTATACTTAGTAATTTTGAGGTGGTCTTTTTAGTTATTTGGTTCATTTCTTAATTTGGGCACTTTTTAACACTCGTCTCCAGTCCTCTCATCAACTTCGGAATGGCTAATTATATACGTTTACCTAATTACATATACTGAGCTTAGATTATTTTATCTTTACAACAATTGTGATATTACTTTCCTAGCTATGTTTATCCTAACCCACCCTGTCAACTTTCCCTGTGGGAGGAAACCAGAGCACTGAAGAAAGCCCACGACTTTCGGCAGAGCGTTGACTCTATTCCCATGAGTCCGTAGGGAGAATCAAACCCAGGACCTTAGAGGCGACAGGCGCGCGCTCTGACAACTGTGCCAGCGAAAATGTCGTTTTTCCCTCAGAATATCGATCTTCCATTTCCTCTCCAGGTCTACATTCATGGTGGTTCGTTCAGAAGCAGTAGTTCAGGAGAGCAAAGACATAACGGTGCCAATTTTGTCGCGGTTGGTGACGTCATTCTAGTAACTATAAACTACAGATTGTCCGCGCTGGGATTTCTTAGTACTGGGGACGAAAGGATTAAAGGTAGGAAAAGACTGCAATATATTAGAAAGGCTCAGAATTGACGGCCATAATAATAATTCTGGCCATAGAAATTTGGTCATCCCCAGAGGGTTTTGTAGTTGGAAAGTGGATGCGAACCTAACACCAGTTGCGAAAAATGCAAATGTAGAGTGTTTGGTGTTCCAATTCAAAAGAATTTTAATTAGACTCTTTTGTCTGGAACACCACCATGGCCGCCATGGCTTTTGTTGAGTTGGTCGCCGGGGAATGAGTACAAACGCTCTATAGGTCCTCTGGCAGGATTTGAACCAACCTCGTACCCAGGCTCTTTCCACTGGAATTGAACCTGCGGCCCTGCGATTCCGGTGAAGAGCTCTAACCTTGAGCTACAGACGCCAGTTGTCGAGTTCTAACCACAAGTTCATGTTTATAAATATTCCAGGAAATCTTGGTCTGTATGATCAACGTCTGGCTATGAAATGGGTTAAAGAGAATATTGCTGCATTTGGTGGAAACGCTAAGACAATCACATTATTTGGACTAAGCGCTGGAGCAGCAAGTGTTTCAGCACACACACTATCTCCAGAGAGCTGGCCTTACTTCGACCGCGTTATACTACAGAGTGGAAATATGCTTACACCATGGGCTCTTCTGACTGAGGTAATCAGGGTTTCCAATAGAGTTTTTGAAAGATGTAGGCGGGTGCCCGGCGGTCCAAGGGCGTCTCCCTGTGAAGATTGTAAACCAGCACATGTAACCACGCTTGTCTTTCAAGCTGGGAGACCTGGGTTCAATCCTTGGTCTGACCTCTACTCAAGGTTTTAAAATAATTGAGGAAACTAACTTTACATTAACATCAGTAAATGATTTTGGAATGAGCTCCCTCACTCTATAAAGCATGCATCCAGTCTCACCGAATTCATAAACCTCCTCTTCGTCATTACAGAAATAAGCTAGCTTTGTAATGTCCACCGTAAACTACTCTTGTGTATTGTGTTCACAAGGTATTTTATATTTTTGTAGTATATAAAGAGGGAGGATTGTCAATTGGGACGTTAGTCCTGTTGTCCTCTCCTGTCACTCCGTGTTATCGTTAGTTTAGGTGTTGCATGCAAGTCTTGTATTTATTCGTAATTTGCAATTTGTAATGAATGTGACATATTCATTAAACTAAACTAGTTCATTAGACTTTCGCGTCTTCGGCTCCGATAAGGACGTTAAAATCGTAGATACCTCAGATCCCCTATCAATAGACCTTTCCCCTTTTAAGTGAAATTTTGATCTGGACAAGTCTGGACAAAAATTGCATCACTGCTTGAAAGAGCATCACAAAATTAGTAATATTCCGAAGTTTCGTTGCAAAATGTTGTAAAATGCGGATAATATAGCCTTGCGAAGTTTGCCGTTTTTCAGTCATTTTGTATTACAAACAGGAAATTGATAATCAGTTTGATCAAACTGATGCAAAATGTTAGATTGTAATGCAAAATGACTGAAAAACGGCAAACTTCGCAAGGCTATATTATCCGCATTTTACAACATTTCGCAACGAAACTTCGGAATATTACTAATTTTGTGATGCTCTTTCAAGCTGTGATGAAATTTTTGTCCAGACTTGTCTAGATCAAAATTTCACTTAAAAGGGGAAAGGTCTATTGGGACACTCCGTCTTTGAAATGTCATCGTTAGTTTAGGTGTTGCATGCAAGTCCTGTATTTATTCGTAATTTGTAATGAATGTGTTAAACTAAACTAGTTCATTAAACTATTAGACTTTCGAGTCTTCTCGGATAATGACGTCAAAATAGGCACCTCGGATCCCCTATCAATTGGGCAATCTGTTGGGAAATCCGCTGACCAACGAGTGAGAAAATCAGTAAACATTTATCAGGTCTGCCATACGGCATTAAATAAATTGTCTTGTCTTTTAGGCTGACAGAAAAAGGGTGGCCGACAATTTTTTGAAGGCAGTAAACTGTAACAATGATGAACGTGTATTAGAATGTCTGAAGACCAATGTCACGAAAGAAACGTTGGAAAAAATCTACAAAACCAAACCATTTCCCTTAGAGAAGCTCCAATTCTCGCCTGTAGTGGACCGTGAGTTTCTTAAAGACCATCCACTTAAACTATTCAGATCAGGGCAAGTGAAAAACTCCAGAATATTGCTAGGAGTGATGAAAGACGAAGGGTACTTCGTGTATGATACGATACTATGGCAGACTAGAGACATCGCCACTATCACTCAACAGTTCAAAAACAGCGTGAGGACACAGTATAAAAACATGACCGCAGTTGCTGAATACGCAATACAGCTCTATACACCCGAGTGTACGCCGACATTTATCGAAGCATTCCGACCACTAGTTGATATAGCGTCAGATATTTTATTCACTTGTGCGACAAGACTAGAGGCAATTCTGAGATCCACGATGATGCAGGAAGTTTATCTCTACCGGTATTCTTACCCTACTCCTGTACCAAATAGTGCATATCCCATGGGGCAGTTGGGTTTTGCTGCCCATGGTGCAGATTTTTTGGTAAGTTTAGCACGACATTGTGACAGCCTTAGATTCTTGTTTTAAGTAGTTCATGTTTTGCTCCTCTATACTTTGGTCCTGTAAAGCTCACAAGCCTCATCGCTCGACTCCATCCACGGGAATTGGAAGCCAATATAAGTTTTCATTACGACTTAACGCTAATATGTGCAGATAGATTCTCCTTTTGTCATGTTGAAACGTGTTAACTACTTGGGAACTTACCACGGGCATCAGTTTAATGTTCATGTGGTGTGATGCTTGTTTATTGGTGGTGCAAATGTTTTATAAAGCTCACTTTAGCTGGACAACATTATATATTATTTAACCGCGAAAAACATCTGGCAGCAAACATTTGCGCCGCTGACGTTTCCCGCCGGCTAATTGTGATAATACTGAAAGACTTAGGGCTAAGTGATCTCGAACTTTTCCTTATCAATATTTGTGAGCTCCTACGCTTCCTCTAGTCCTTTTCAACACAAAGAACCCATTGCAATTTCCAATTTCGTTTGTTTTTTAGTCTTCGTTTGGTCTTACAATAAACCACCCCACTTTCCCTGCCGAAGATCAGATTTTGTCAATGAGGGTGATACTATATTGGACAAACTTTGCAAAAACTGGGTAAGTCATATGTAGGAAAAATCACTCAGTTCAAGATGACAATACTAATTCAGGAAGTGACAAGGTTAAAGACAGCGAGAACGTGTGTTAGGGTAAGGTTAAGGTTACAGAACACCCTTTTTGGCGTTTTGCGGAAAATCGCTACTGCGCGCTCAATATCAGTCCGATTTTAATCAAATTTTCACCAAACGTTCGCCAGTGCATGCAAAATATGGTAAGTTGTAAAATTAACAAACAATAAAATAATGTAAGTATTATTCAGGAAAATCTTAAATCGCGGTACCGTTACGCTTTTGAGTTATGTTCCTGCTGGTTTTAAGATATATTTATGAAAATATCATTTTTATACAGTAAAATAGTTGTTCTAAAAAGTTGTGTTCGGAAATTTTTGTTTATTTCGTCATTCCGCTGATATGGCGATTTCTTTGACGACTGCGATATATTTCCGAATTGTTTGAGTGAATTGCTCTTTATTATTAAAATATCCAAAATTAAAAAAAAGCCGAACACAATTTCGAAACTGACGTCTTTAGCTATGTCCTGTGAAAATTTGAGAAAAATTGGTTAAAACCAGCAGGAGAAGAACTCGTTTGAAAATCAGTAATTACCGTAAAATTGTTCGGGAGAAAATTGAATTTGAATATTACATTTTCAGTGTTTTTTCTTATTGCAGCGAAATGTATTTTATTAAAAAATAACTCTGCGAGTTTTCAACATTTTTCGTTCAAACTTGGTCAGGTAGTAGAACTAGTCTAATGCTTTCATGGAAACCAATAAAAATTTTTTAGGCAAATTAACACTCAAAGGTGTTCTGTAACCTTAACTATACGTATAGCATAGCATATTACAAGGGCTTTCAGAATTATTCTGAGCAGGTGGCTGTGTTGATAAAGTAGGTGCTGTGAGGAGCGGTCTAAGGAGTCTTAATGCATCCACATTTACTAGACATAAGTGTATATTGATTATTACACAACTGAGCTCTGGAAACAAATTATAATATATACCACTACTGTCATTCTTCAACAAGGTAACTTCAAGATTTAAGATGGCAAATGTCGTTTTCGAAAACAACCAGGCCATAAAGTAGACCAGGTTGAGGAAAATTGCTAGTGGAGGAAGGAGAGTAGAATTGATATTTCATGTACTAAACAAAATAAGTGGCGGTGAACCGGCTTATTTTGAAATCCCTGCATGGTTTACGGCACATCAACAAACTCCTAATTTTCAAATTGAAACTGAATGCATGTTGCAACCTTATACATAAGCCTGCGACTAATTCTCTTTCTCACAGAAATCCAAACTCAGGGAACACAATGCTACCACTGGTCCTAAACAACGTAAGCTCATTACCAACATGGCCGCCACATACCAGCAGCAAGGAAGAATATCTGGACATGCGCAGTCTATCTCAGATGGTTGTTGGAACAAAATTACGGGAAAAGTATTGCGAATTCTTGATGGACCCTGCAGGAGTGATTATGAGAACTAGCACCAATACAGCATCCAGGAACTTTGGACATCTCTTGTTATTTGGGATCGCATTATTGTACACCATTTTTTAACCATAGATTGTTTAGTATAAAAATATCGTATGGTAAATGATCACTTCTCTTCCTCTATCTATCTAGTTCTACATCTTCTATTGCTTAGAGATGCAACATTTTATAAACACGAGAATCTTAGTTAGTATAGATAAGCAGATAATGACTGCAAAAACGCGGCTTGGTAAATTTTTCTACACATCTCTTATTTATAGGGTTAAGTTAGGTTAGCCTACATCAGCACGTACGGACTTGCTACAAATTCTTAAAGTATTTGTATCAGTAAGAAATCACAAGGAGGATACAATATTGCACATCATGTTTATAATATTTATAACTCATAAAACCAATAATAAATAATGTCCTATTTGCAATTTGAATAAATTTCTATATAGCCTAACGAGTATAATCTTTCGTGTTTCGAAGACAACTGCTAGTTTAACAATGGAATAGCTTCTTGGTTTATATATTTACTAGCGCCATATTTGTGCACGCAAAAACCAGATTCAGTATCGAATGAAATACGGGTCGATTGTCTAGAACGTCGTGAAAGAATTTCAGAGGCCAGACAGCTACGAAACACTTTCAGCAAGATCTTTTTTATGCATAGCGGAAATTTTCACGCGAATATATACAGACTTTTCGCGCAAACCAAAATTTTTCATCAGCAGTTCGAGGCAATTTTAGGGCTACCATTGCGGAACAGTATAAAAAGCTATATGGCAAAACTTACCAGTTCGGTTTGTACTTTTGATCGTTTTCTGCATCTTAATTAAACGTCTTTCTATACGGAAACCAGAAGTCTGGAAAAAGAAATTAAGAATTTTAAGGTTACAGGACACCCTTTTTGGCGTTTTGCGGAAAATCGCTACTGCGCGCTCAATATCAGTCCGATTTTCATCAAATGTTCACCAAATGTTCTCCAGTGCATGCAAAATATGGTAAAGTTGTAAAATTAACAAACAATAAAATAATGTAAAAATTATTCAGGAAAATCTTAAATCGCGGTGCCGTTACGCTTTTGAGTTGTGCTCCTGCTGGTTTTAAGTTATATTTATGAAAATATCATTTTTATACAGTAAAATAGTTGTTCTAAAAAATTGTGTTCGGAAATTTTTGTTTATTTCGTCATTCCGCTGATGAGACCTTGGGAAAGCAGTGTGTTTTGTGGACCCTCGGTCGAGGGTCCACAAAACACACTGTTTCCCTCGGTCTCAGTAAATAAGTGATAATTATCTAAGCCAGTAAATGGCTGCACTGGCATAGATCAGTCCATTGAAATATTCGAACAGTCTGCTGTGCCAGTGTAGGTAGTGACAATAACACAGAAAGTTGCGAATTGAAAGGGATGCAACTGGCTGAAAAATACCGTAAACTTCCGACTATAAGCCCCCCCCCCGAATATAAGCCCTCCCCCCCCTCCCAATGTATAAGCCCACCACATGTACTAACGCTCACCTCATTCCAAATATAAGCCCCCGAATATAAGCCACCCATATATAAGCCCCCCGAATATAAGTCCCCTAATTAATATAAGCCCAGTAATCGCTGCGTAATACATGTTTATTTTCCTGTTTATGACTGACTTGTTTTATGTCTGACTTGTTTATTACTAACACAAAAGATCGTCCATGTATAAGCCCCCCCCGTATATAAGCCCTCCCCGTATATAAGCCCACCCTTGTGTAAGCCCATCAAAAATCGCTTACGAAAGTTTATAAGCCCTGGGCTTTATCGTCGAAGGTTTACGGTACACAAGGAAAACGTCGACGTTTCGAACGAAGGCGCTTCATCTCAGGAACTTTCCAACAAAGGAACTTCATTTGAAATGTTGAAGTTTCATTTGGAGTTTCATTGCGTTGCGAGCGAAGACCTTTCATCCTTTCATTCCTGACAATATTCGTTACCGCGTAGTTTAATATTTTGAAATGATTGCAAGCATAATCCATGACAAACGTTTTGCGTTCATTCATTTTAAGAATCCTCTAAATAACAAACGCACAACTCTCTTTTAAAATATCTGACGTTTTATATATTACATAGTAGAGAGTGAGATACTGAAAAAATACGCAGTGAGATATCGATCACGTGACTTTTTCCAATTTGCTTTTGAGCGTGAAATTTCACAATTTTTTGCTTGGGACTATATAATACACAGAACATTAAACGGCGGCTTTGAAGATATGACTTTTCTCTTTTCGTGTTAAAAACAATATTTTACTCACTCGCTGCGCTCGTTCGTAAAATATTGTTTTCATCACTCGAAGATAAAAGTAATATCTTCGCGCCGCCGTGTAATATCCTGATATTATAGCAAACTTAGTAGTCTAACTTCCCAACGAAAGTGCCTTTGCTTGAATCTTTCTCTCAATCTGGTAATGGTTTATTAATCACATTTCAATAGCAAAGTATATAGCTGAATTATTATGTGTTTACATGATTATGAAGAGTAAAATACAAAACTCTTATATATTAATTAAGACTATGAGTTAGTACTTACATTACAATTATGTAAATAGTATATATAATTATAGTAAGGTATATAATAAAATTTAAATGTGTGTTATTGAGAGCTTAAGCTTCGCGTTCAACGACGAACGTCAGGCAAAGAAAAATTTTACGCTATAAAGCAATAAAAAGAAATTGGGCTTGTTGTTTTATAACTAGAATGCTTAACTATTCCTGTGACATATGGAAGAAAATATGACACGCAGAAATCGAATGCCAAGCAAAGTCGGCCTTGCCGTTCCCCGCGCAAACGTGAAGTTTAAACTCCCTATTTTCACTAGCAACGCTGGCAGACCGTTTGAGTTTATATCCCAGAAGAAATCCAGCGACAACGACGGTGAATCTCAAGACATTTTGTCATAATCTCCAGAATGAATGTTTAGACGAGTATTGCCGAAACAGGCAAGGCTAGAAGGCCATATTGAACTTGCGTTGTTCACAAAGCGTGAAGGGATAAAACAGGTGGAAGAACTGTCAGAATGGGATTAAACAACTAAACATGAACAGTGAATTAAATCATTGTTTTAGCTCGTTTGTTGAGAAGAATTGCTTTACTACCACTTTTGATTTTTGTAACGAACAATAAAACTTCGTTTCATTTTGTCTTTTTGGACACAGTGTAGTGTAACAGGTAAGTCCAGAGCTTTCTCTCAAGTTTATTATTTCCAGTTCCCCAGGCATCTGGCAACATGTTCAATTTAAAAAAGCAACAGTAAATTTAATATTTTTACCTCTGTCTTCTATGTCTAAAATATACAACTTTATCCAGTTCTTGTATCTTATTGTTTCATTCAATCATCCGTATTTCACTCTAAAAGTAGTAAGCCTTCTTAGCTAGATTCTCTTTCAAAAAGTACGATCATTGCATAGCAAAGATGCATTGGAGGAAAGGTCTAAAATATTCTTCACCAATGGCAATGCAGTTTCTGTCAATAGACCTTTCCCCTTTTAAGTGAAATTTCGATCTAGTATAGCCTGGACAAAAATTTCATCACAGCTTGAAAGAGCATCACAAAATTAGTAATATTCCGAAGTTTCGTTGCGAAATGTTGTAAAATGCGGATAATATAGCCTTGCGAAGTTTGCCGTTTTTCAGTCATTTTGTATTACAAATGGGAAATTGATAATAAGTTTGATCATCTGATTATCAATTTCCCGTTTGTAATGCAAAATGACTGAAAAACGGCAAACTTCGCAAGGCTATATTATCCGCATTTTACAACATTTCGCAACGAAACTTCGGAATATTACAAATTTTGCGATGCTCTTTCAAGCTGTGATGAAATTTTTGGCCAGATTTGTCTAGATCAAAATTTCACTTAAAAGGGGAAAGGTCTATTACAAATTAAGCTGATAAAATTGCAACCGCAATAAAAATAAGTCAATGTAATAAAAGTTTCTGATCTATTTTTATGATATACTTTGTGATCTATTTTTATATATTCAAATCTATTTTTATGATATATGCCTGTATTCTAAAAGCTCACTCACACTTACACTCAAATGTAGAGGTTCAATCTAAGCTTGTCTTGAGTGTCAGTGCAGTTTCTGAATAGCTGGAGGGTTACTAACTTACTAGACACATCATAAGGTATGGCACTAACCCTCCAGCTATTCAAAAACAGCACTGACACTGAAGGGAAGCTCAAAATGAACCTCCACGCTTTGAGTGTGAGTGAGCTTTTAGAATACAGGCGATAATCTTGAGCAGTCTGTGGCAGTGTAGGTAGTGGCAATAATAACAAATCTTTGATTGATAGGATTCAACTACCTGAAAAATACAACTTCGATGTTTCGAGCGAAGGCCCTTCATCGGGAAGAACTAGTTAGTCAACACAAGGAGAATTTCGAAAAAATACAAGGACAATTTCGAAACGTGGTTCTCCTTGTATTTTTCATGTAGTTTTATCTCTACCAACCAAAGTTTTATTTTTCTGATAATCTTCAGATAAAGTTTGGTGTTAAATCCATGATGACAGCAACATTAGAGACAGATGATCAAAATTTAGAACTAGTTCAAGATAGAGAACATGTGTTCAATGCCAGTGAAGACATAGCCTCTGACCACTATCGAGTCACAGTTGAGCCTGTCGTGTTTTGTTACGCCTTTGGAATACTACTTCATGTCCCGATCATTCAACAGTATATCTTCTACCGTGTTGGAGAGTCAAGAGGTCTGGTGACTAATAAGACGGAACATCACAGTAATTGTGACAGTCATACGGCACACAATAATCCTCAACTTCAGAGGATAATGAAGGATACACAGAGTGAAACCTCATTTATCCTATTAGCAACCATAATTACCTCAACTATCCCAACCTTGTTCATGACACTGATGCTCGGATCATGGTCGGATAATGTCGGGCGGCGGACCGTTATAGCTATTGCCATATTTGGAAGTATCACAGAGAGCTCGTTAATATTGATTATAACATGTTTCAAACTACCAATATATTTTCTCATGTTATCTAGTTTCATTGGTGGTATATGTGGGTATTTCCCTACTATAATACTGTCTGTGTTTTCATATATAGCAGATATAACCCACCCTTCCCAGCGTGCATTTCGACTGGGTGTCCTCGAGGCAATTGCTTTCATCAGCGGTATGATAAGTCACTTATCGAGCGGGTGGTGGATTGAAAAAACTGGCTATGTCGCACCTTATTGGCTGATCACGTCGTTACATTTCTGTGCATTTCTGTATACAATATTTATATTGCCCGAGTCTCGTCAAGTCAATGTGAAAAAATTTGGCAAAGGCCTTTGTCAGTTCCAGCATATACAGTCAATTACACAGTTATTCCAAGAACCAAGAAATGGTCAACGATGGAAATTAATTTATTTAATGACAGCAACAGCATGCATGATGTTATCTTCCACAGGGTTTG